CTCTTTCCTTTTTGAGCTACTACTACTTATCTTCAGCCAAACTTAACATTTCCTCTGTCTTGTCTGAATTGTACTCTCTTTTATATATCTGTAAGCATAGGAGAAGATATTGTCACTGTTCAAGAAAATCAGCAGCTTCTGAACTGCATCTAGCTTCTGTTCCTTTATTTAAGATTTTTTTAAGAAGCCTTGGAAGTGGTGTATACTTGAAAAAAATTTGGACAGGAAGAATACTTGGGTGAACCCAGAATATCTGTAACCAACAGATGAAATACAGATAATGTAACCTTTACTTTACAACTGGTGGATATTGCTACTTTGCTGTGTTTACCAAGTCCTAGAAGCAGAAACATCTCTTCTTAGATCACAGGTCACTGAGTGTGCAGTATCAATTTTCATGACGTAGTGAATTTCCATTTGAAAATTCTTGGGAACAATGACTAGATTTTTTTTTTTTTTTAATTAATGCAATCCATTGCCCTTCCTTTAGGATTCCTAGGCCTTCTGTGTAGTCTCACAGTCAATTGAAGCTTCACTGTGGTTGAAAGAGGCAGTTCTGCCTCCATCTAGCTCCTTTCTGTATGCTGGTATGTGTTTGTGGCTGCATGGTAAGCTGGATAAGGGAATCAATTCAGTTAAAAAAAAAGAAAAATCCCCACCCTGTTAGTTACTTTTTAAACTGGATGGGTTCCACTATCTTTGCCAAACAGCACAAGAATGAAAAAATGGTTAGGGGAGGTAGTCCCACTTCTGTAAAGTTATTGTGAGACTGGGGTGTTAATCTGCTTTCTGTCATGCTTTATCTGTGCTTGCAGTTTTCTTTTTTAAAGAAAAAATAAAAAGAAAAAACCCACAAACAAAAAAAACACCACCTCCCTGGGTTCAGCTGCATCTTCTTAATCATATATCTACTCTTAAGATACTTGCTCCTGTCACTTGCATGTGTGTATTCTGTTTTTTCTGTAGTATTTTTTCTATGACTTAAGATTTTCACAGGCATGAGAGGCTGGTTGATGGATTAGTGCAATATAAAGTGATAGCTGTATGGTGTATGGGAAACAAATATTTTTCCGACATTTTATTATAAAGATTATTATCACTTTCCTGGTTTTTGCAATTTCAGCTCCCAAACTACAAAAACTTCAAAGGAACCATTCAGGAACTTGGTCAAAACCAGTATGTAGTCAGTGGTGAGATATTTGTGGTGGACAGGAACACAGTAGAAATTACAGAGCTTCCTGTAAGGACATGGACCCAGGTAAGTAACAGTGAAACACATTTACATAAAAAACAAAACCAACAAAAAGTTCCTTATTAAATTATTTAATCCTACATCTGGATGAATTTTTAACACAATTTCTGATGATTATACATACATGGAAGGGAATATATCTTCATCCTTTTGTGTGCCTTTGTAGAAGATGGTTTTCTACTTGTGCCATCTACTGTCCGTACTGCAAAGAATA